TGATCGGTGCCAGATTCGCCCGAGGGACTGAAGGCACTGACTCGCACACCGGTCACTATGCCACATTGTATAGACCACATGCCAAATACCATCAAACAGACTCTACGATTCTGCATGGAAGTCAAATGCTGGTCGTATTCCGGGGATGTGATTGATTAACGTTAAGTATTAGACATGAAAGCACTAGTCCTTCGCTTATGAGGATCAGATCAAGCTATTGCAGCATGGGCAGCCATAAGAAGGCACTCAAAGATAACAACAGTGCGTGTCAACTTATTTCGCTCTGTTTTCAGCTTGGCTTTAACAGTGGCCACGCTATTGAGAGGTGACTCAAAGGAAGCTGTCCTTTACAGACGCTCAATAATTCGGTATGCGGTTCTATGTCAGGTGAGCATTCCAGAACCTGCAATCAGGGAAGCCGACACTTTGTACTAAGGACGAAGATGACTGGAGTACAATAGCACCGGGAAGCTCTAGTTACGACTAGTGAGGCTTGGAATTGCAACAATGAATTGGACCCATTGTTTATTTCAAATCGACAAGTTAGTAGCATAGGTGAATGGGCAATTCGAAAACATGATTGTAAGATATAGTGCAAGATACAGGAAGTACGGTCGAGTTTTTCACCACAGTATGTATTCTGTGCAGTTGTGGAGAGTACAGTAAGGGTTACCTTTGGCCCAGCAATACTAGTTCCAGAAGTCTGTTTGACACACCTTCAGTCGAAAGGGGACATGGGGAGAGTGATATGGAGTGGCTTTAACCCCACGTCCCCCTTTTTTAAAGGGACATTTTTTTCAACACCAAAACTTCTCAAAAGCCGCAACATAGCAGAAACTGTCTTGTCGCCGACTCTGAAATGGTTCAGGCGTCGAGAAACATTTCACCCTAGTAAGAGAAGATTCCCTGACTGCCAGAAGGCAAGCCTACTGGTCATGTGAATAGAGAACGGAGCTCTTGCCATAACTTTTTACCGAAGTCTGATCAAACTATTAGATAGAGAGGAAGCAGAATGAGGAAATTGTTACAAAACGATTTTGGTCGTGTTTAGGTTTTGGTGTTCCGTGATGTATCGATGCGAGTTCGTCGACGCTTCCCCAACATGGAGTCAATCGTGGTTGCAGGTTTTTGCCCTACAGGAGTACTTTAAATCCCCTTATCTCACTAATTCTCAAGCCTCCTTTCCAGGTTTTCTGCATGAAAATGAATTGAGGGATCTGGAAAACATCAAGATGGTCTATAACAAGTATTGGGCGCCGTTCAACTGGGCGCTCACCATCTGTACTCGAGCATACAAAGAGGGATGCATCGAGAATATCCCAGCAATGGTCGCTATCCAAAATGTAAGTCATCCAATTTATAATTTTAACATTCATTGCTCCGTNAGGGGAGGAAGAGGGGGGAAATGAGAGAAGTGAAGAAGTAAAAGATGTAATCGTGAAGTTTCACGAAGCTTCCTTCACAATCGTTGATGATGGTGTTCAGAACTTATCAGAATCCCTAAACTGTGTAAGAATCTTGTTGAGTGTCTCGAAAAAGGCACTGAATCGCCTTTTTCTCTGCTTGAAAGCTTCCCTACTCGATGGCGAATAAGGACAACTGTCGTTCATTGAATATAAACCTAGTTTACCTAGCGTCAATCATTCTTAACTCTTACCAATTGAGATGAGGTTTTCAAAGGATTCCTCTGCTACATATTTCATGATTGAATTGGGGACCTCTCATTTATCACTGAAATTTTTAAGGAAGTGAAGCTGTTCCGTACTAGCTTAGCTCAACTCTGCCATTTTGATTGGGTGCCTATTCCAATTGCCTATCCCCAGGTACTTTTTTTTGCTTATTCATTATATTTTTGCACACAAATTTCTAGAACTACCATCGAGTTGTTAAGTTCAGGCAAGATGCCGTTGAATGCTGAACTAAAAGCCCTCAGTCAGGTATTCCAATAATAATGAATATAGAAAAATATAACAGAATTTGCTGAATGGGACCGAGCTCACAGAGAGGGAGAGTTACATACATAGGCGTAAATGTCGTGGACTCTTCTAGCGCTAGAAAGCAAAACCACAGTATCATATAGTATCGAAGAGAGAAAGAAGACCATTTTGGCTATAAAAAGAGATCGGTTGCAGATATGCCCTCAGAGTCGGAGTTAATGATGTGTGCAACAGATTCAAGGTATCCCCAATGAACAAGTAATGAAAGCATGAGCGTCCTGGGCATATTCAAGGCATTTTTTCTAGAATGTCAAAGGATCTATCTCTAAGGTATACATGGGCAGTGAGTATATACCAAAAAAATAAGAAGAATTCATTAAAGAAAGGTGTAAGGCGACAGTGCTATTTAACGCAAAAAGAAGCAAATATGAGAGTATGGATAGCTCATAATGCCAAATAGGGAAAAATTTTTGGAAAATATGAACTAAGTGGTTTCTGGGGCTTCTAAGGGGCTGATGTTAACTCGTCGTTTACCGAAATATTGAAATAAATGTTAATTTCGAGGAAATCATCGGAACACGACAGCATTCTCATTTTCAGCTGCTTTCCAGTGAACTGACAAGAGCACTCGAAATTGTTACTATAAAAAATTATAATTCATATATGCCTTTGACAATTCCACGAATATAATCATCCGAATATAATCTCAAGCAGCAAGTTGTGAATATGTGTATGATAGGAAAGTAGACGACTAATTGAAATCTTCATAGAAAATAACTGAAAAAATAGTGGCACTGCTAATGAACAACTATTTCAGATAATTTAACGGAAAGTTTGAAAGCTTTTATTCCTCGGTTTTAGAGAGCATACCCCATTAAATTTTGTCTGAAAGGATTTTATTTGAGCCAAAGACCACTTGAAATGAAGCTTTCCACTTACATGTACTACTACTTTTTTAAGGTTGTCTTCCTTGCTGTTCGAGTGTACTTTGTCATTTGTACGGTGTCAAGGCAGTTTATACTCAGCGCTGATGCAAAAAACAGGAGTGCCGTAAGTTCTTTTACGGTAATGTAACTACACCTGGTGGTCCGAGATTTTGGATCCGCACTTTCATTTCAAGGCGAATTTGAGCACCTTTGTTGAGCTGCTCCACCCCGCGGTTGCCCAACCATAACTTTCTTACCTTATCGCCTTATCGGGAGGGGGGGATCCCATGGCCTATTTGTACCGCAATTCTA